CCCATCCCATCCCATCCCATCCCATCCCATCCCATCCCATCCCATCCCATCCCATCCCACGCCGGCTGCTCCCGCCCCGGCCCTGCCGTCAGATTTCTGCCTCCCCGGGGAGCAGGTCGGGGTTCAGCTGCACCCCAAGTGGAAAATGTGGCCCCCCCACATCCTCCAGCTGTTTGTGAGCGAGAGGCCCCGCACAAAGGAGCCGCAACAACGGAGGAAATCCCAAAATAGCAGCAAAACCCCGACAAAGGGTACGGCGAGGCGCGGGCTGCGAGCGCAGCGGGCACGGGGGGTGCCCCAGCCCTGCTCCGGGTGCCGGGGGGCTGGGAGGGAGGTGATGGTGCCGGGATCGCTGGGACTGGGGCATGGAAAAGCCTGGAGGGATCGATGAATTGCGGGGGGTCCTGATGCCCTGGAGGGGTCCCAAAATTCAGGGTGTGGATGCACTGAATGGGATCCCGATGTGCAGAGGGGTAGCAGAGTCCTGAGGGTGCTGATTCCCGGGAGGGCAGCAATTCCCTGGGGATAACAAAGCCCTGGAAGGTACCAAAGCCCTGGGGGGCACCAATTCCCTGGGGATACCAACATCCTGGGGGCACCAGTGCCCTTGGCATGTGACAACCCAGCCAAGGTGTCACCTCCACCCCCTCACAGCCTCATCAGCGCCAACCATTCCTCCGAGCTGCTCCCGTCCAGAAAATCCCCCTTTTCCTCATCATTATGATCCCAGCAGCGTGCCGACAGCCGACAAGCCCCTTCCCGCTCGCTCTAAAGGCAGCTCCTGCCTTTTGAAAGGCTCCTCACGGCTGGCAGCGTTGTCAGCACCTCGCAGCGCCCCCCAAACCCCCCCCGGGAAGGGATTCCAATCATCCCGAGCTGCCACGGCACGCTCAGGATGCTGAGCTGACTCGCAGCGCCCGAGGCAAGGCAGAGGCTCCATCCGAAGCCAAATCCTCCCCCTGGGATCTCATGGCCTCCAGAGGCTGTCATAGATCTCAGGGAAGGGCTGGACCCCAAGCACCCCATATCCATGGGGGTCACACACCCCTGGATGACAGGATCTTTCCTAGAGGCACAGAGTTCTGGGATATTTGAGGTGAATCCCAAATTTCAGGTTGATTTTGGGAGATTGAAGTTTGCAGACCCTCCACTGAATCCTGAGAGCAGGCCTGGGAATTGCACTCCTTTTTCCAGAGAATTTTCAAAGCCCAAGTGGATGGTGGGCAGCTCCAGGACCCCCATGTGGGATATTCCAACAAGGCCTGTTCCCATCAGGATCAGCAGAACCCCTGGGATAAGTGGGATGGGAACGAGGGCTGGCTACAGGGAGCACCCAGATGCTGAAGTCCCACTCCAGGGCTGGGGACTGGAGCATCCACGGATGCTGGAGCGGGATGGGATAGGAAGTTCCATCCATCTCCCCTTCTAGCAGGACTACCACGGTGTCAATGGAAAACAGCTGCCTCATTAGCATGCCTGACCTGGATTCAGAGCATTTAATTAGGGCACAATCAATTAACGCCTCTGTCCTGGCCGGGTCCAGCACCGCTGCTGCCCCACGTGCCCTTGCAGGGGTGTAGGGTGTCCCTGGAATGCCAGAACCTGGGATGTGCCTGGAAAAAACCTTCCCCCATCCCATTCCTGGGGTAATCACAGGGTTTAGGGGATACCAGGATGGGCATCAACTCCTCTGTAACCCTGGGGGGCTCAGGGACCCTCAGATCTCCCTCGGCACTAGCTATATTCACTACCTCCCCTTCCCAGAGCTGCAGAGGCCCGGGGATCTGGTGGGGGCTGAACCCCACACGTTTTTCACCCCTTTCCTCTCGTGCTTGGCGGGACCCAGGGAGGCAACAGAGTCTTCAAACGGGCCCAGAGGTGACGTCAAAAAACCACAGAGGGAGGAAAAACAGCCGGTTCCTGTCC